AAGCCCCAACAATACAGCAAAGCTAATTAAATCCAGTAATTAATACAGACATAGATTCAAAGTACTGCAGTGCTGAGAGGAACCATGAAATAAATCAGAACAAAACAAGTCATAAGACTTTCTGAGGGCACAATTAGAGGCACAGCAGCGAACCAATAAACAGTAAAAAAAGAAGAAATGGTCTCTACCAGCTTCTCTCTGCGCTGTGTGAAGAGTAATGAAAGAAACCTCTTATGGTGTTTTTATTATTATTAAAGGAGGTCTGCTAAACATTGCTGTATTCAAGACTAATTTGATTCCATATATTCTGTCATATAATACAAGTTATCTGGCTGTCGTTTTTCACCATTTTTTCATACTTGCCAGGATGATTGTAAATTACATCCTATGCAGCATTAAAAAGGTCTTTAAAAAAGGCTTACACTTAACTTGGTGAACCCTACAGAGGTCAAAGCCTCCGGAAAAGATCTCATAGATCTCTCCGATAATTAGTCAGTGACAAATGTACTTCCCACATTCTGCATTCTGGGAAGGTCTTGTATTTCCCAGTATATTCACCACCACAAAAGAACAGGCGTGCACTTGTTTCTACATTATATTGCATTACATTCGGCATTACATGCTTGTAGTTTTTAGGCTTAAGGACACTTTAAGTATTTGGAAAGGAGGAGCTTTCCCGCTATCCTATCTTTAAAAAAACATTCATGTAAAGCTACATGGCCGACTATATGGTATCAAACCTTTGAGGAATCATTCTGTATTTTTTTCCTCCGAGAAAAGAAGCGTAAAAAACATCTCACTTTTTTTCTTTGATACCTAAACTAACCTGCAGCACAAATGAGTAAAACAGCAAATTACTATTTCTGGCAGCTAAAAGGCATGTTTTCATTTACATTTCAGTCATTTGGCTGCCACTCTCTGAGCTGCTAAACACACACCGACTCTTTCATGTTGTAATATCGGAAGGCGATTAAACGCACAGTGACTTTATGGCCCTACGGGGCAGCTGTTTCACGCACTGACTTCCTTGAATCTCATCACTAGTGACTCATTCACTGCTGCAGCTAACAAGTCATTGGAGCGCCATCTGTGGCTGTTAAAATATGTATTTCTACTTTGTTACTACCATCTCCATAATGAACAGTGAACTGTCTGCAGGGAGGAAGAAAATGTGAGGCTGAGTCTGAAACCTGCGGCTGGGATCCCTCCACTTCTGCAGTCCTAACTTATTGGGCTGCTGTGCTTTATGGTCCGTGTATGATGAGTGTACTGCTGGGTCAGGCCGGGCGAGATAAACAGAGAGATAGACAGAGGAAAGAGAGAGAGAATGGCCAAGACAAAGAAAGACAAACCAAAACTAAAGAGGAAAAATAAGAGTGATTGCAACTAGAAAATAAACCAAAACACCAAAATAAAAAAAATACAATAGTATCAGCCTTAAATTAAACATTCAGGCCCAGACTCACTAAAGAACCCAGGAAGGTGATGTTTATGTTATGTAGTATAAAGTACTTAACTTATATGAGGTACATAATATAACTAATTTAGGATCTTTTCCTCACCAAGTAGTTTTGTTGCTTTATTTTGAAAGTGTAGCTGAATGTTGCACAATAATTATTGCTAACTTAAACACAGAATGAGCACGTGGTGAAAACGTGACACTGCTGCGTGTAGGCAAGTCAAAGTGTAACACTCCCACGGTGGACAAATGGTATACACCCTTTGGCGTGATACCGGATTGAAGTACTAAATACTGATCTTTCAGTGTTGTGGCTGGACCACAGGAGACAGCTGATTGTTCCAAACCTGTAAACTTGTATATTATTGTAACCATGAGGACTAAAGGCTTAAAGACACCACTGCAAGTCTACAACACTGGCAAGAGCCACCCCTAAGCATCTTGCTGCCAATGACAAATAATCCTTTGCTATTACTACCCAATATTGGTACAACAGACAGCGATATAGTTTTCCCATTTAGTGGGATGTAACCTGAAATGTTTCACCTCTGAAGGCCAACTGTTCTTTTAAATCATGTGGGGAAACCACTATTTAAACTCAGCAAATCCCCAGAGATATGGCTTGCCAGGCCATGCCATTGTCTTTCTAATGGGAGGGTTGTGGGTTGTATAGTTTAGGATATTTTTCCATCTTAACAACTAATCTCTCCTCATCCATTGTTATACACAAAAGCAATAGCAAGAAGTGAGTAGGTGGTGGGAGAGGGAGCTGTCACAGAAGCAAAAACGTTGCCACTGGAGCTGAGATGTACATGCAGGGCACTTTTTTTCTGGTGCAGCGACACTGGAAATAGGAGAGTGGCGGCTGCTTTGGCATGTGCCGTTCATGTCGCATTTGTTGTTGGAGGACTTGCTGTCCAAATCCCACCAACACATCATGGGGACCTGTGTGTCAAGGAAGCTGATTAGTTGATTCAGTTAACTCCTGTCCATAGCCGGGCATGAAACACACAAAAGAAAAAAAATAAAAGTATGAAACAAACAGCCATGTGAATGTCTCAGAGCAATGGCATGCGGCTCTGAGAAGCACGTTTAAGCCTTCAGGCTGGATATAAAACATCAATACTTTTTTCAGTCAGCCCCAAGTATCAAAAACTGTCATGTACCAAAAGCTGGATTCCCATTTCTAGTCAGACGCATAATCCTGTTTACCAAGTATTTAATAAAAATGTTAATATGTTTTTTCTTCCTCAACCTGAATCCACATCCACACCCAATCACATCCTAGGACAAATGACACCTTCATTATTCTCATTATTCCCGTTGATACAAGACACTATTGAACAATATCATACAGTAACCAGCCGAGAAAAGAAAGATTCAAAGATGCAAACTATAACACCTTCAGATGAAAACTATGAAACTACAGCGCGAGACGGAAGTGAGCAGCAGGTGAGAGAAGAGGGAGAAAGATTCAGGGAAGCAGGCATGACACCGGGAGACTAGAAAGGAAGGAGGAGGATGGAGATGAAGAAGAACTGAGAAGAAGGAGCGAGCAACACAGGAGCAGCTCTCTGATTGATGACAGCAGGTGGGCAGAGAGCCAGGTAGAAGAGAAGAAAGAGGAAGACGGCAGGTATAGGAATAGGGACACGTGTGTTGGGAGGACAAAGAAGACAGGAAGACAGACAGAAAAGAGCTGTGGGCATCACAGATAGATAGAAAATAGAAGAGAATAAAATATTTAGGTGAGGCTGTAGATGTTTCTTTCATGGAGGAGAAACAGAGGAAGGACAGCTGAGGAACCTACTACACTCCTCTTTCCTCCTTACTCATCCTCTCTTTCCCTCCTTCATCTGTCCGTCTGTAGAGGACGCAATCTCTCTCGCTGTCTCACTCTCCTACAGCCGACTGTCGTAACACCAACTGCACAGCCTCAGACCCCCAAACACAGCCCTTGCATTATTATGCTGCATGTTGCTTCAGGTATCTCTCTAAAGTGAAATATCGGGATTCTTCCACCCTTTAGTTTCCTTTTAATGAGGTTCTGACGCTGGAAAATCACCACCCATCAAAAAGACTCCACGCTCTACACCATCCCATCACCTTTTATACACATTTCTATGAGTCTGCAGTACAGGAACTGTGGAGAGGTTAAAAACCAAAAAATACTAAAGAAAGGCAGAACATATAAAGAAAGTCTTAAAGAGAGTAAAAGAAGCAGTTAAGAAAAACAAGAAAGCCAAGAAAACAGGCAAACTGGTTGAAATAAAGAACAGTAAATGAGGGGAAAAAAAACAGACAACAAGAGATCATTGTGTTTTAGAAGACGAGAATAAAACAGTTGAGGGATGGAGGATTTTTTTCTGCCATCTGTTTCATTACATAGTGGCATATATCACTGCCCTCTCTCTCTCGCCTCCCTTCCTCTTGCCTCTCTCCAACCCTTTCTCTCTCTCTCTCTCTCTCTCTCTCTCTCTCTCTCTCTCTCTCTCCTCCCATCTCAAGCAGGATATCAGCAACGCCCCACTTCACATTCACACACTGACACAGCTTCAGACCTGGAAACTGCCCAGTGCTGATGACTCAATGGCACTCAGAGGAAGAAAAAGACTCACACAATCCAACCTGCAACCTCTCAGTCCCAAACCCACCTCTCCAACCTGACTGCATACAACACTTGTCTCCCTCTCTCCCTCCCTCTCTTTCTCTCTCTCTCTCTCACACACACACACACACACACACACACACACACACACACACACACACACACACACACACACACAGAGTCCTTCACACTTCGCACCCCGGGTTCTCTCTGGAGTGTGTGAGCACAAACGTGCCTCCATCCCGGGATGCTCATCATTCTGCTCTGATCACCAGATTAACCAGAAAGGGAAGAGATGCCCTTGTTTTATGCGCACAGTGGATGAACTGGCTTTGAGCAATGATGCACACACAGCTGAGACCTTTGTACTGCCAAACATTGAGCTCTGTGAATCAGAAACCCTCTCTGTGCAGCAGCATCCTACAATGCAAAGCTTTTCAATGGGAATCACGATCACAGTGAGCCTGAGAGTCAGAAAACAGTTGACTAAAATATAGTCAAATAAATGAAATAAGAGATGGGCACATAAAAGTTGTAGAAATCACAGAAGAAACATTCTGCTTGAACGTTATTGTAAGAAAAAAATGTAATTTAATAATTATTTATATTAAATAATTTTAATAACGACAAACTTCAGTCATCATTCACATCAAATCGCCTCAACTCTCCCTATTTCTCTTTAACAACAGAGCGCTGATGCGCAACCGATACGCGCAAAATCCCCACCGCACTCAAAAGACAGAAAGCCCTGCACTTTCCCAGACTGATACAGTGAGCAGGTGATACAAACAACTGTAATATCGTGAAATCCACTGTTTTTCCAGGGGACAGAAGGATAAATCCCCGTTTCTAAAGCCGCCTCTCCGGGTCTGCGCTGCCCGGACTCGCTCAGTCTCCTCCGGGGAAAAGTAAAAAAGCGCACAGCCTGCTCACCTTCTCCGGTTGTCCCGTACGAGCTGGACAGAAGCAGGACGACTTGAGCGATAATCCCAGCGACTCTTTTAGTCCCCATGTCCATGATGAAGCGACGGGAGGCTGCAGAGAAGCCCGACGGCTGCTGGAGGAGAGAGACGGCCAACCTCTCCTCTCCAGCTCCAAGAGAGGTCTCCTCAAACCCGACTGAGGGAGCAAAGGAGGAGGAGGAGAGGAGGGGGGGAGAGAGAGAGGTGGTTTTACTACACGATCACGGCTCAACTTCAGTGCACCTCCTCCTCCTCCGAAAGCTCCCCTTCAGTCCCTGAAACGGTTTCAAGATCCTCTGCAATGCCAAACTTGGTTCTCCAGTTTCCCATCTTCCTCTGCGTGTGCTGCTGTCAATTAAGGCCCTATTGATCACTGGAGCCTACTGAGCCAAAAGGCCAATAAATTCCGCCAGGCAAGCTGCAGGTGATCCCTCACATCAGTCATTATCACAACACAATCACGCCCTGTAGCCTAATAATAATAATATAATAATATAAATTATTATTATAGTAGGCTACACGGGTCATGTATTAGGAAGCTAAGGTTAATTTTGTCTGTTGGTTTCAGTTAGTTACAGTTACACCTGGAAATATTTAGTACCAACAAGTCTCTATGTCGGAAATACTTTGTGTGGCGGGACCTGTTTTAATTTAAAACTTCACTTTCTGTGTTATGTTAAATATGAACTGAAGAACAGCATGGTGCACCCGGCTGAAGGAAGTCACTGCACCCGGCCAACAGACAGCTAAGCTACGCTAACCAGCTACTGGCTGTAGCTTTATATTTACAAACATAAGAGTGGTATCAATCTTCTCATTCAGCTCTTAGAAAGGAAGCAAAGGTTTCCCAAAATGTCAAACTATACCTTTACCACGAATATTTAGTAATACTAAGATGCATCTTGCTGTTGAAGCTTCAACCCTTCCTGGTTCTAGAGTTGTTAGGGATGCTCTTCACTTTGAATCTAAACAAACACGATGCACTCTCTGGGCAAAATGGCTGCTGTCAGATATTTCCCTTCTATCCACGACAATACAACAGCAAACAAGAAAATCTGGGCTCCTTTTATTCCTAAACCAAAACAGCAAATCTTTCTGCCCATCAGTTCCACTACAGGCTCTTCTAAGAACTGGAATGCCGGCGTTGATCACAACAGCTCAACCCCTCAGTGGGTCAACGCTAAAACGCCCTGGATGACGCTGGGCTGTTTGGCGGTGTCTGATTATCAACCTCTGGGAGTCTTCAGTGGTACAGCAGACGATCCTGGTTCAGCCTCATCAGGCGAGGCAGAAGAGATATGCGAACTCTGCATCAGGATGAAAGAAATCGAGTTATGCAACATGATAGGAGAAACTTCTGGCATCCCGGAGTGTGAGTAGACAATGATAATAATTACCTGCGCACTATTACACAATTTAATAGCCCACTTTAGAGCCAGGGGAGTCAATAGAGTTGTTTGCTGTGCAATTTCCAATGTGGATCATCATCAGTATAACTATCCTTCAGTCGTTCAATAGAATTAGAAAGTTTTACAACCTCTTCAGCTCGTTGGAGCCTGCATGCACACGGGAAAAGAGATTTTTAACAATATAAGTGATACTGTTATTCGGATACAATGATTTATTTAATTCTAACCATGGATAGCACGATGGTGACCACTGTCACCTCACAGCAAGTCTGTGTGGGTTTCCTCTGCAGGCTCCACTTTCCCCCTCCATCAAAACATGTATATTAGCTTTATTTATACAGCCAGTGCCCTTGACTGTGGCACTAGCTTAGATCTGGAGTTGGTGGCTGCCCACTGCCCCTAGTACTACAAATTTCACTATAAGTTGTATGATTTTATGTAGTCCCCATGTCCGTGATGAAGCGACGGGAGGCTGCAGAGAAGCCCGGCGGCTGCTGGAGGAGAGAGACGGCCAACCTCTCCTCTCCAGCTCCAAGAGAGGTCTCCTCAAACCCGACTGAGGGAGCAGAGGAGGAGGACGGGGATTTTATGTGACAATAGAGTTAAATCTATTCTATGTACACAAGTGGTTCTCAGCCTTTTTGGTGTCAAGGACCCCCTAAATTGATACACATCAGACCTGTATTTGATAAGATTTAGTCTCAGGGATCTCCATAAGATTTAGTTATTCCATAATATCAGAATAATCATTCCTATACATTCTCTCATTGTGGCTTACTTTTAGATAGTAAAATAATAGTGGAATTAAAATATTTCCATTTTTCTGCGGGACCCCCTGGAAGGATCCCTGAGGTTCCTCGGACCACAGGTTGAGAACCACAAAGATTTCATTATTTCTGTCTGATGGTCTCTCTCTCTCGCTTTCAGATAAATTTCTGAGGAACATCAAGTACTGCGAGGCAAAGCCGTGGAGAAAACTGAAATGATGGCCCCAGCAAGAAAGACAAAGTTACAGCTTGTTTATTTTAATGAATAAACACCTGACAACAGTCTTCATAACCACTATCAAATACAAACTTTTCAACGTTTTCCAGCATGTGAATGTGAAAAACTCTTTACTCATACCAAAAATTGTTGTTTTTACAGAGTTGCTTTTTTCAGTCGAGAATTTTCAAAATCACTGACTGTGAATTATTTAATGCATTTATGAGCTAATACAAAGAGGGCGCTTGGCATATTTTGGAATATTTTCTTCCACGGAGTCCCCTGGGCAGCCTGGTCCAGACCTCCGAACTGCTGCAGGCATCTTTTGTTTTTGTTTTTTAAGCGATTAAAACCACAAATTACTGATTACTCATCACTCCACTCATATTAAAGTGAATAATGAAGTGAGACAAAATAGCAATTTAGTCCGATTATCAAGCCACCCCCGAGGGACTATGCTGAAGGAAATAATATTGGTGTGGAAAACCATGTTCTCGAATTAATAACCCACAATTATTGCTAAACTGAGAGCATGGTTTAGGGGAACATTTTTGAATCAAGACCAAGATCAAGTATGTAATTATAACTCTGTAAAAGTGAGTGGGTAGCTAGTAATTTATGCGGTTTTTAATTGTCATACAAACTAAAATATAGCACAGACTAATTACTGGTACAAAATAATGAAAATGCAGTAATATCCTGTCTGATGCGGTCATAAAAGCCATCGTTCAACTCCTCTTTCATTGTTAAAGCACAAATTATTTCTCAAAATATCTCATGACCTCCTGTCTCCTGACAAATTATGTATTAAAAATTAATTTCAGTCTCAGTCTCATACTGTATATGTGCAGTGTACAAGATGCTTGTTATAATATTCAGCTTTCTAACTGAACTGCACTTATATAACCCTTTTCTAGTACTTCGACCACTCAAAGAGCTCTACAGGTCACATTCGCACTACAATAGCACAGCATCAGGAGCAATTTATTGTTCAGTATTTTTGCTTAAGGACACACTTTTACATGCACGCAGAGGAGCCAGGGGATTGAACCACCAACCTTCTGATTGGTGGACCCACTCCAGCTCCTGAGCCACAGCCGATTAATGTATCAAGAGTAGGTGCTCCTCCAAATATTGTTATTGTTCTTTAACATAGATTTGTCTCTTGTGATCTCAGAATAGCAGTGCAAGTATACAGAGTTCCCAAACACTATCTTTCCTAGGTCAGCAAATCATCCTTCAGTCAAAGAGCTTCTACAACAGAAAAATTAACACTAAGTGTTTTCATTAGTAATTAATCACTGGTAAATAAAAATTATGTGTTTTCATTACCTATCTACAGAGGGAGGAGATCCTGTTCTATGAAGTCCGCCATGTTGAACCACCATGTTTCTACAGTAGCCCAGAATTGACAAATCAAACACTGGCTCTAGATAGGGCCTTTCATGGCCACCAACGTTTCTTCATTTATTCAGTTTGTTTTAATCTCAACACACTGGTCATCAAACATCACTCAAGCCTCCAGTGAAGAGACAAAGACATCATATCTGTGTTCAGCGTTGAGGAGACTGTAACCTTCCCCAATCTATCATATCTCTTCTACTACGATGGTTTAATGGCAACAGACTTTCTTTCATTTCTGTTCAGATCTGCAGTATATTTCAATGGAAGCTTTGGTTACTGGCTTTACACAAGTGAAGAGTGAATGTGGCACTGGTAATAATTACAGCAGGTGGGTCAAAGCACCAACGAATCAATACACAGCAGGAGTTTCAGACCAATCTGTGTAACACAGAACCGCCTGGAGACGGGGTTATGGTGTCATGTTCAACAGATCAGGTCCGAATATTAACTGAATACATTTATGAGAGAGAGGATTTTGGTTGCATTCAGCGGGAGGAGAGGGGAAAGCGAGCAGAGAGAGTCAGCGGGGGAATCTGATAATGAAAACCTACTGAGAGTATAGACAGCAGGGGAATCAGATGATAAAAAACCTGTTGAGAGCAAACACAGTGGGGGAATCAGATAACACTGCAGCCAGAGTCTGCGAGAAACAGGGGATCACACCGTGCACTGACACACACACACTCAGCGTGAGCGTCACGCACGCACCCCGGTGGCCTGCAGACACACCTCACACGGAGAAAGCAGCTGGCTGCTTAATGTTCAAATCAGACGGGTGAGAGATTTTAAAACTGGGTAGACCTGAGATACGTAAAGACACACCCAAGAGGAAACAGCAGGCTTCTGGTCGCAGGAAAGATTTGAAATGTAATGATACAACCAGAGTCAAACACAAACAGCGACACACTCAGCGGGAGAGTTAGAGACATAAGAGGAAATGGAAAATAAAAAGTCCAGAAAGGTGTGATGTGCTTTTAACCAGTTGAGACATCATGTCAGTTTTTGTATTTTTATTGACGAACCAGAATGACCACGACTAGACGAAAACTAGAATGATGCTATTTCTTTTTAAGGGAAGATTTGTTTTTGTTGTATCCCAAGGTTTGATAAAACCATTTGGCAGGCGAGAGCGAGACTAGACCACTATGGTAAAAGTGGGAAAAGCAATTCAGTTCAAAGCGAAATGTCTCTTTTCACTTTCTCTGACTGAGTTGTGCTTTTACAGAGATTTGTGTAAAATGTGACCAGATTTGAAGTTGAAAAAATACATTAAGCGTCAATATGACGTCTGCATTATTGAATACTGCACAGCTGAAGGCAGTACAACTGAGTAGATTGTGGCCAAGAAGTGACTTGTCGGTAAACACTCAGTCTTCCTCCCTCACAAGCGCAGACTGGCTTTTATTGGCAGAAATTTTTCTCTC